ACGGTCCGACGCAAGTAGTGTGTGTGTGTGTGTGTGTGTGTGTGTGTGTGTGTGTGTCCATTCCCCCCTCCCCGCCTCCCCCTTTGGAGGACAGAGGTTTGAATCCTCGCTCTGGAGCAGGGACTTGAACCCAATCGTCCCTCCTCCCAGGTGAGCATCCTAGCCCCCAGGCGACAGGTTGTTCTGGGGTGGGCTGCTCTCTCTCTGCCTGGTTCAGAGGAGAGATTTGAATCCACATCTCCTACCTCTGAGGTAAATGCTTTAATCACCAGGCTATAGTCATGCTCGCTCGCTCTGGCCCACTGAACAGTCAAGAATTTATACAAAGCGGAACAGTTTCAATAGGAGAGATTGAGAGCAATGCACCCCAGACTAGCCTGTAGCCTTCTCCCTGGGGAGCGGGGAAGCTCTGAGTTCAAGTCCCTGCTCTGGAGTGAGGATTAAACCTGGGTCCATACACGGGTTGTTGACCTGGGTCACAGGCCGTGCCATTGTGTCTTCACTGCTATTGATACGCTAGCGAGATGAAAGCATCCTCAAGCTTTGGAGTGTAGACGTACCTATAATGGGTAGTTAGAGGACCGTATTTTCCCCAGTCCCTTCTTTGACTCCCCTGAGGACCATGTGTGTGCCATGACGGGCACTTAAAATATCTGAGATTCATGTTCTCTCCTCATAAAACAGGGGGTGGGATTTTCAAAGGAGAGCTTATGGGAGTTAGGCCCGTACTGCTCCTGTTGACCTCCATGCCTAGCTCCCATATGCTTCTTTGAAAATCCCAGTTTAAATGTGCAGCTGAGGGGCAAGCCTCACTAGCCTGTAAAGGAAGCAAGCTCAGCACTTTGGTGCTACAGGGAAGCAGGACTTCCTTTGAAAGCCAGGACAGACCGACTGAGTTTGAGATCCACAACAGGAGCAGGATGGGATCAGAGGGCTGCAGTGCCAGCCAAGTAGGAACTGTCACTGGTAAGATCCTGCAGGGAAACAGGAAGGGAAGTGCAGCGCAAAATGTCCCGGTGAGAGCTGAGGATGCCCCAGACAGGTACTCCGAGATTCTGGTGAGTTTACATCTGGACTAAGGACTTGCAGCTGCATCCTTTGGGAGGGAACTGGCACTCCCTGGGCTGCAAATGTCTAATGTGTCTGTGTTTGGGTTTTAGGGTGGCGTCAGGCTCTTATACTTACCGTAATCTTATCCAAGAGAAATCTAATGAACCGAGAATTGAGCAGTAAGGATCAGCTATACAAGGAATGAAAAACAAACCCAGACCATTTAAGTGTGAGCTGCACTGATGGTGCCTCTTGAACCCGTGTCCTGTTATTGTTAGTGTGGAACGCAGAGGCCTGGGCCAATGAAAATAAGGAAGGCATCCTGAGAGAGACAGATTTTTATCTTTTGAGATTTGTCGTGACCTTTCCTAGACTATAATAAATAAAATTGACTAGGGAGTTGGCAAGTGCCCTATAAGATGTAGTCCTGGTGGCAGGACTTGGCAGAGAATGTTCTGCTTAGCAATGTATTCTGTTTAGCTTTAAATGCCTATTTCAGAGGCATGTTAAAGGACTGAGCTGTGGTAGGTGCTGAAGCTGCCTTCTGTAGGACAGAGGCACTGCATTTGGTGTGTGCATGTGTCTGTTGCTTCTGATCCTGGATGGAGAAGGTTGCTTAGGCTCTATGCTGATTCTGCCTTTAAAACTGAGCCATAAACAGAAACTAATGAACAAACCAATAGTTTTCCCAGTGGTCTGAAAGCTGGTGGGGAGGAGACCCTCCAGCCCCTGTGGCTGAGTCCAGTCCTCGAAATTATTGAAAGTCGCAGGTGCTCAGCAGCTCTGAGGATTAAACAAAACTCCACCATTATTGTTTCCTGCCTTCATTCCTTCCAAACAGCCCTTCCCTTGCTGCACAATGGACACCAGTGATATTAAATCACTCAGTCATTTGGAAAACTTGGCTCATAGCAAGCAGCACGAATTGTAGCTGTGAAACTTGCTAGCTTTTGGATGAATTCCTGCCACATCCCGTCTTCTGTTAAATATTGGCATAAGTAAGAGTGTGCCTAATCTGTCTGATCCTAGACATGGTGGCTGGGGTTCTGATACATATGGATCTTTATAAAGAGGGCTGGGAATCATATAATGAAATAGTGGAGCAGTTTCTTGATGCTAATTGTGTATTATCCCTTTTGAGCCATAAGTGACCTTGTGGACTGTTGTGTGTACTTAAAGTACCACTAAAGCCAAAGAAGGAGAGTTATATGGCTATTGCAGCTAACTCATGAAGACATTTGTCTCCAGTACCACTGTCCCAGTGAAAAGACTTCTGGTTCCATCCACAGAATAAGCAATTTGTAAAGTCCGTAGATGTTTCTGGCAGAACTGAAAAATTTGAACCAGCACTGTGAATCAGGAGCAAAGTTGGATGATGCTTTGGGTCACTTGGGTGTGCCCGCAAACATGAACCCAGACGGAAATGCTTGCCATTGGAGACTGATCTTGTGTTTTCCTGAAGTGTGGATTTGCTGTGTCAATGGAAACTGCAACAGAAGAAATGGAAGAGAAATTGGTCAACTTCTTAGCTACATACAGAAATGTTCCACACAGCAGCACTGTCTAAGCACCATGTGTGTTATTTTTTGGATGAACACTTCATTCTCAAATGGATTGCCTCAAACCAAAGATCCATTTGTAAGAAACAAGTAAAACAAGCTGCCAGTTGGCCACATAGCATCCTATGGAAATTGTAAATGGCCACCGTGGACAGGAGACTTCCATGGAATCCAAAAATGGTCACAGTTAAGTTCCACGCTACACACAGTAAGTCATGTTGACCAAGCCCCATGCAGACACACAGATCAGTTTGAATGGCAGAGCCACCACCTACTCCAGGGGTGCCCAACCTACAGCCTGCGGGCCGTATATGGCCCACCAGAGCATTTCATAAGGCTTCACCATAATATACTAACGGCCGATTCATTAGCGTTTTGTCTTCATGTTTACATCACTTTAGTTTACACAAGTGTGTAAATAGATTGTCTATGTACAGTGTTGTCTATCTAAATACATATGAAACAATCTGGACTTAAAATATAAATCAATACAGGTCACTTTAAATCTTATTAAAATATGTAGACTCTGTTTGGCCCACACAAGGTTGTGCTTAGGTTTATGTGGCCCTCTAGTATAATAAGGTTGGTCACCACTGACCTACTCTAACCAAACTGTTGTTAGAGAGACTCCTTTTTTAACCATCTGCAGCA